GTGGAGTCGGCACGCAAGGAGGCGACTGGGGGCGGTGAGGCCCCCGTTGGTGCCGACGTGGAGCGCGGCATGAGGCACCTACCGGGCCGCGTGACAGAGGCGTTTCTCTTCCATCCGCAGGTAAGTGATGGCCTTCGTGAAGGAGGGCGTGGTGAGGGTGAGGTTCGCGATGGAGTGGCCAAAGTCGGGGTGGAGGCCGCGGACGAGGTTGGTGAGGAGGACGGAGTCATCGACCACCATGCCGACGTCGCGAAGCTCATCGGAGAGTACTTTCAGCTTCGTGCAGTACTCGTCGATTGTGAGATCGTTTTGCTGCATGGTGAAAAACTCCCCTTGGAGGAACATGCGGCGTTGGAGCTGATTGTCGATGAAGAGGTCGCAAAGCCGCGTCCAGATGACGTGCGCGGATGGGTCACGGCAGTTCACGATGTCGAAGAACCCTCGCAAGATCGTGAGGAACATCCACTTGACGATGCATGCGTCGACGGCCAGCCACTCGTCGTCACCTTTCATGTCACGGATGTCGATGCTCCCATCAACATGATCAATGAGGTGGTAGGAGCGGAAAAGTAGCGTGAAGTAGGTGCGCCATGCATTGTAGGATGGGGAGTCGAGCTTGAGAACATCGGGGACATGGTCTTTGATGTGAAGTTCGTTGAGGCGATCGGAGGTGAAGGCGAGAACGGTGGTGGAGCTGGCGAGGGAGAAAGCGGAACCAACCATGTTGAAGGTGCGGCGGTGGCTTGGACAAGAGCGGCAGCGGGAGGGTAGGTTTGGAGGGTGGCCGCGGCGGCTGAGGAGAGAGGTGGCGGCGGCGGCCTAGAAGTGTTAGAGTTTTAGATGGGTGCAGCGACGACGGCTTAGAGAGGAAGCAGCGGCGGTGGCGTGGGAGGATTAGGGTTTAGGTGCAGCGGCGGCAGCTTGGGAGGAAGCGGCGGCGGCAGAAGAGGAGTAGGCGGCGGCGGCCTAGAGCGAAAGCGACGGAGATCGGAAGAAAACTTATAGTACCATGTAGAAGACTATAGGATGCAACTTAATTGTATTCATCAGAGTCTGTTATAATATATACAAGTAATGTCTTGCGTGACAAGTCAACTAACCCTACAATATCTTTAGAAGTTAACCTATACAAGCCTAGAGATGATAGGAGAATCAGTCGGTAATAAATATAGATATGTCATGGTTCAGCAGTAGGAACCAAAATAAAATAACAGATGGCTAAAAATCACAGATGTCCTAATCTTCAAATGGAACAACCATATAGGAAAAAATTCCAAATAACTGAAACCCCATGAAAAAAATATTCAAAGATGCCAGATTAAGAAAAGGTATCCGATATTCAAGTGGGGGTCGGATAATGGAAGGAATCACATTAAACAAAACATATTTTGAAATAGATAGCATGTTAGGGATATCATATGCATGCTGCCTCAACCCTTAATTTTAATTTACACAGGCATGTTGCCTTATCATTTGTCAACTACATGCAAGTGCTCGTTCCTCAAATGAAAATAAAAAATAATAGATGGCTATAGTTGCGTATGACTCTGAAGAGTCTGAGGTAGCTTCCATTCCAAGTGAAGCACATGCAAGCAAGCAACATAACTAACCTCCATCCAGATAAACTAATAATAATAGTCTAATGTTGGGTAAATAAAGCTGGAGAACCAGCACCAGCACTAGGCCAACTGATTATATTATAGTATCAAAATGATCAACCGTGGTAACCGCCAATTGAGTGCATGGGCCGGTGGTGGAATTCGGTGTCTGACCTAATTTCACCCAACAGCGAGAGTGACAGTTGGACTCCGTCGTCCCACTTTGACCCCAGCGGACATTTTTTTGTTGTTGTGTGTGTCCCCTATTCTTTTTCCGCGCACAGCATGTCCATCGTTTCTATGCATCCAAAATTCTAATATATTGTGGAAAAGGGGAAATATTGCTTCAATGTAGTGCATGCTACAAGTGAATTCATGAATTTTAGGACACGACTATTCTTAGCTCGAGCTCAAATGAGCCTAGATGAATAGTAAAAACATTATCTTTCAAAAATAGTAAAAGCATTAAAAAATAAAAAAATCTTATTTTTTAGGGAAAACATTGACAAATGTTTTGAGTGCTTACAAATTTTCATTTTTGAAATCACATTAGTGTAAGTCGTGGAAAAAAAATAAGATCGATGCTCCAAAATGCCATTTTCAAAAACATTTTGGAGTGTTGATTTCTTTTGCCGCCACTTTCACGAATGTCTTCCATGGTGGAACTTTGCAGGCACTCAAAACATTTGTCAAAGTTTGCTAAAAGAATCATAATTTTTTGATTTTTTTTTCTTCTAGATTTACTGTTCATCACGGGCTCATTTGTGCTCGGGAGCAGTTGGGAACTTTCCTGAATTTCGCTCCTTTACACCCATATAAATTTTACCCTGAAGAGAATAAGTCTAGATTAGCCCTTTTGCGTGAAACCGTCTAAGACACCTCTCCGACCGGGTCATCGGGTTGGGCTGCCCATGATGAGGTTTACCTCCTTCCTCAACTCTTAATATTATTTAAATTTCCAGCCTCTTTCAGCTTGTACATTATCTTCATCCTCCTCTTTGTCCACATCAGAATTTGAGGTAGTGACTTCAAAAGCGATTTTCTCCTAAAATGTGTGCGAGCGGAAATTTGAACAACCAGCTCAATAAATTATGTTTGATTTTTCCTATTTTCTTAAAAAAAATTGAATGGTCCGGAATTTGTCTCAAATATTGAGATACCAACTCAAAATAGATTTTCTTCCAAGTTGTCACTGCGAATGAGCTGAAATTTAAACAACCGACATACTGAGTTGTGGTTTATTTTTCGTAAAAAATTTGGACTTTCTGAATAGTTTCAAACTTCGGTAAACAAATTGAAGTAGCAAATAAAAACGTGATATTCTTTTCCTAATACATTTGTGCAAATGAGCTGAAATTTGGGCGGTTGGCTAGTGAGTACTTAATTTTTCAATTGCTATTTTAAATCTAGCTAGAATATTTGTAAGCACTTCAATTGAGTTGATTTTCACTTGACTAACAAAAAAGAGAGAGAATATGACTTGGTGACACGAGTCGCGGGCGAAAAGCGTTTCCAGGGCATGCATGCAAACAGATGCAAGCCAAAGGCGGTTAGGGCTCTTCCTATGTTGCCATCCCTGCTCCGGTCCGTCGATAGATTGTCGGCCTCCTCATCCTCCGCCAGCCTCGTCGCTCGAGATGTGCATGTCGGGCCCCAGTTACCGGATGGGAGTTGCAATAATGGTTCATTCGGCTTTTTTTCCGGCCCGATGGTGTGTATGCCGTCGGACTGGATTGTATTTTCTTTTCTGTTCATGAATTTAATTATAATGCTAGTTTGTTTAATACAAAGTTTCGGCTCCTTCGCCGAAAAAAGGTTAAATCATTTGGGTAAAGGGACCCTGATAAGTCGCACTTATCATTTTGGCAAATGATAAATGTCACATGTGTGGCACGAAGCAATTCCACCTTAACGTTTTTTATGGTACTTTAATTAGTCAAGGATAGCAACTTTAGTTGTGAAGCATGTCAACTTTCTATTTGTATGACAAGTTTTAGTTTTTTAGGGCTTTGTTTTTTTTCGGATGGCAATTTTAGGGAGCGTTCAGTATCTCTCCGCTCTGCTCCGCAACGCCGGTTCGGAGCGGAGCTACGTGCAATTACGATTGAAGGAGGGGTTAGAACCACGCTCCGCGCGCTCTCCCTTTCTTGGAAGGTTGCCGAACAGGGCTTTAGTTAAAAAAAACGCCAGGGCGGTGTTACTATGTGCCATACTTATGACACTTATCATTTAGGTATAAAGTAAACATATGGAATCGAGGGGCTAAAATAACTTGACCGAGACAGTAATAATAATAATGTAAAGTAAAAAAAAAAAACACAGACACATCACACATGATGCTGAGCGCCCTTGTGGACAGGCAGGCACTTGAAACGCACGGCATATGCAACGTCGGAACCATCGCTGCCACGGTTCCACCGCCAGGCCCCCTCCACGTCCGTCCGAAAGCTGCACACATATCCCTCCATTGAGTGGGATGTGATGCAAGAAACCCCTTCGTCGTCACCCGCACCGCTAGCTCGATCTGCATGCATCCATCGCCAACCTAGCTACTCCCTCCGTTTCAAAATAGATGACTCAACTTTGTACTAAATTTAGTATAAAGTTGGGTCATCTATTTTGGAACGGAGGGAGTAGTATCTAGCTTGCACCCGACGCACGCACGCACGTCGCCTACAATGCGCCCCTCTTCTTTTCTTTTTCTCATTTGGCAAACACAATGCGCCTCTTTTGTACGCACATATAACAGGCAAGGAACGGAAAGAAAAGGAAAGAAACACGCGGTGGATATACAGCCAGCCTCATCGTCTGATAAAAATGTCGATGATTAATTTCTAGCCTAATTGGTACTCGCACACAGTACTATATATATTAAATTGGGCATAGGAGTGGATTGCTTGCTTCTTCTCCGGTCCTCCTGTCCATTTCTGATTTCTTCCTCTTGCAGTTACGGTGTCAGTTCCTTCCGCCGGTGGTTGGCCCGGATCAACTCACACACACTCCTCCTCCTTCCTCCTCTCTTGACCTCCCGCCAACCATCGCAACCAACCATAAAAACTCCGCCACTCGAGCTACACAACACAGCACCGCATTACTCATTGCTGCCTGTGCCCGACCTCTCTATCGCCCCGTCCGCACGTCGTCATGGTGAGGAGGGGAGGGCTGCTGACTGGTGGGTATGGCGGCGCGTCGTCGTGGAAGGCTGGGAGGGTGATGAGGGCGGCCGTGGCGGCCTTCTTCAACGGCTACCACTGCTTCAGCCCCGTGGCGGCCATGCTCGCGCTGCCCTTCTCCGCGGCCGTGCTCGCGTCCCAGGCCGCCGCGTCGTCGTCGTCTTCCTCGTCGGGGGCGGTGCTCCGCGGCGTGTCGTCGCGGCTCCGGGGGATGTTCCACGCCGCGGGGTTCCCGCCGTCGCCCTTCTTCGCGCTGCTCAACGGCAAGCTGTCGCAGACCGTGTTCACCTACGCGGCCACGCTGCCGGTGGCGCTCACCGTCCTGCTGCTCGCCAAGGCCTGCGTCGCCGGCGTGCTCCGCGCGGACCCGGCGCACGACCGGCGGCGGCGGGGGCGCATGTCGCTCCCGCCCTGCGGCGCCGTGGCGCGCGCGTACCCGGCGCTCGTGGCCACGCACCTCGTCGGCTCCTTCGCCATGCTCTCCGCCAACGCCGCCGCCTTCTCGCTGCTCTTCCTGGCCTTCGGCGCGGCCGACCTGCTGGGCTTCACCTCCCGCGCGTCCACGCTCGCGCTCTCCGCCGCGGGCGCCATCACCTACTCCGTGGCCGTCGGCGTCGCCACCGTCGTCTGCAACCTCGCGGTCGTGGTGGCCGCCATGGAGGAGCGCTGCGCGGGGCACGCCGCGGTGCTGCGCGCGTGCATCCTCATCAGGGGCCGCGTGCCCACCGCGCTGGCGCTGGCGCTGCCCACCAACCTGGGCATGGCGGCGGCGGAGGCGCTGTTCCAGCTGCGGGTGGTGTCGCAGCGCCGGAAGGCCGGGAGGCTGGCGCCGGGCGTCGCCGGCGAGGCCTTCTCGATCGCATACATCCACGCGCTCTGCGTGGTGCTGGAGATCATCGTCAGCTGCATGTTCTACCGGAGCTGCAGGAGGAGCGAGGCCGATGAGCTGAGAGAGCTGGAGCCCGAGGAGAAGGGCGACCTCCAGGCATAGTCAGACAATAGCCGCGTAGCTTTGTGATTCTGAGAAACTCTTGGGAGGGTCTCATCAGACGGTCCAGAGAAACATGCACTATACAGTAGTAAACTGCGATAGCCATTTCAAAAAAAAAAAAAGTAAACTGGGATAGCTCTACATTATTTCCCTTTTTTCCTGAATAGTTTTGTTCGTTTGTTTCCTTTTTTTTATGTTGGCATGGAAATGAAATGTAAAAGATGGTTCTATTGTACAGCAGAAAAAAAAATACTCCGTCAAACTGAAATAAATAACCAGTGGATTTTGCACCGTGCAAAAAAAAAGAGGAAAGAAACGAAGAATGATATGGGTTGGTTCAACATTCTGTACTTTTTTGGTTGAAAATTGTTTCACATGAACCGTTGTTGAAGACACTATAGTACAGAAGAATATCTCAAGCTCTGCCCTGGTGATCACATCTGTCAGGTTTAAATTTCTATGTTTCAGCATACGGAGCATTGAAAGTGCAGCATTACTGCCAGTCTCAAGGCAGAACTTTTTTGCCAGCAATGCTGTAACTTCAACGGAAAATGCAGTTACAAGGACCACAAAAAAAGAACAATTACAACATAAAATGCAGTTCCATACACCACAGATGAAATGGGTGATTAGGGGAGAGAGGAGGGAGCAGAAGAGAAGAGAGTGCAGTGTGAATTAGCAACAGAGGACCATTTCCCGTTTTGCACATCATCAGACAAAAACACTGAAGCTATCACTTCAGTTGATCAGGAGAACAAACCGCATATTTTGCTCTTTCAAGACAGGGTTCATGCACAAGCACCTCGATGCATGATTTGGCAACAAATCGAAAGCATGACTGTGCAAAGCGGTTACACAAAGATCAGTATACATATTGTAGAATCACCTGGTTGAGCTATAGTGATGTGTGTCAACCTGTCTATCGTTTCAAAACCGCCTAATCTGTTGGTTGGAAAATTTCCTGTGGTAACAACACTAATCCTTTTCTATTTCTTCTAGATTACAAATCATTGCTTACATTCTTTTCATTTTCCTAGTTTACAACCACTGGCCTACTCCTGCTGCTACTGCTAGTGTAAAACAAATGGGGGAAAATCTAATAAGAAATCTGTACACATGGACCTACGTTAGGTGCTGGGTTAGCTTTGTACAGTGTCATGGGCTATCAAACGTGGATGTCCAACTGGAAGTATCTGTACGAAACCAAATAAGTGATTCTAGGTTAGGGTTATACCGAGAAGAACATTTCACGAGTTAGGATGAAACAGAGCATATGCATAATTGTATGTTACCTTGTCTTGTAGGCATGAGATGTCCCCAAGGAAGTCATGCATCTGGCGACAGTCGAGCCTCCTGAAGATCTGCATGGCTGGCAGAGGTCGTCTGCTGAGGAAAAACTGATGACCGTATCCAAGTTTCGGGACAGATATCATTTGAAGGGCGACCTTGGTGATCCTACATTTCCATCTTTCAATTTTACAGGAGTTCTGTCCTGGCTTGCTTCCTTTTCCGCTTCTTTCAGCGCTTTCTTCCTCTGAGCCTCGATCTGCTTGAGATTCTCCTCGTGCGCCTTCCGAAATAACCCCACAAAGGTCAGAAGGGTGGAAGCAACTGCGTAGTTTTCAAGATTCAGTATGAGTAAGAGATAAGAGGGATATCGAATTACTAGCAAATGCTTGCTTTATTTTGGAGATAGATGAGGACATGCAAGGAGGAGTTCAGGACATTGATGCCATTTTTTAATTTCAAAGTGAAAGAAAGACATTTAACATGGATTAAATGATAAAGCAGGTCATAAATCGCATAAAAGGAACTGTTGTAGTTCATAGACATGTATGTTTGCCATTTGATATTTACTGGCTCAAAGAGAGAAAACTGAAGAGGGAAATTAACTACAGCAGATCTGATAAGAAGCAAACTATAGGAGTATTCTAGAGGCAAATAAGCAAGCTAGTCAAGCAGATCAGACGATCAGGTAAATGGTGATCCCAACCAGGCAACCACTCAACCAGTATTGATAAAACTGGGGACAGGTAGCAATAAGCCAAAATCACCACAAAGAAGTCTAGCTAGGAGTACTTCGGAGAGAATCCTCATTAATCCAGCCGAGGTTCAAAATCTCGCCTTTAGCTTGTTATAACATCAACCAATGAACCTCAAGAAGTTTTCTGAGCCCTGGCTCCACACTTCCAGATGAAGCGTCAATTAACTTATTGCAGAAGAAAAACTGAAAATGTAGTGTTGTCTTGGTGAAGGGCAGGTGCAGTCTGCCTATACCATTTTAAATCAGACCAAACACATCCATAGTCTCTAGTTTCTCACTCTATCATCTTAGTGCATCAATGGTCACAACACACTATCTTCACTAAAACTTCACAAGCATAATTGGAAAAGGAGGAAATATAAAATATACATTCATTCAGAACCATCTCACATAGACTGATTCAATTGATAATTTGGCATGGAAATTACCTTGCTCAAAAGGGTATTTTGCAGGGTCTTCTCCAAAATAAAGGGAAAGTGCATCTGCACTTCTACCCTGTCAGCACTTGTACGTCAAAAGTGGGCAAATTTGAAGTGTACACTATTAGTAATGAAAGCAGGGAGGGGCACGAAAGGCTTACTACATCAGCGTAGAGTGCTGATAGGGCACGTACATCAGCACCAGAATCATCAAGGAACTCCTTTAAAGTCTACATTGCATTGAAGCAACAAATATATAGAGCACCATACAAGAAAACATTGAAAAATACAAAATAGCTACCAAAACACTTCATTAAAAGCAAATGGTCTCAGAAGGATGGGAAATGTACCTTCCGAAAAACATCAGAAACTGGCCCATCACTTTCTGAAGCAGTTAGTTCCTGTTCAACTTTCTCTAGCCCTTTTACAACTGCCTGCTGTTCCTCCGCCAATGCTTTCAATTGCAACTGTTTAAATAACTCCAGAATATTTAGTAAATATTATCAATGTAAGTCATCCATATTAGTCAGCATGCACAATACCTTCGAAGCAGCTTCCAAGCTAACTAAATCCTCATGAAAATCCAGTAGTTCTGGTGACTTTCCTGCAAGGGACTGAAGAACACTTAAACCAGTCATTAAGTTTTGAAGCATACTGTATGAATGCACAATATGCAGCATGAAGCCATGAACCAAGAAAAATATTGGCGATTGGTTTCTTCAAATTTATAACACATTGTGATTCTAAGGTCCGCGTCTACGTTTACAATAACACATTGTGAGTTTCTAGAGTATCGTGTCCACAAAGCACGCAGGTGGAACTGTCAAATCTAGTTCCTTCCGATTAACATGTCTCCGGTGTTAAGTCGGTCTTGGAGTAGGAGCCAGGAGAAGGCCTTGACTTTAGGATTGCACTTGCAGTTGCAGGCCCAGAGCCATTTAAGATGACATGGGTTTGGTGATCCTTGGAGACTTATTTAGTTTTTACCTTGGACAATTTTTTGACCCCAGATGCAGCTCCAGACATCATTACTGAGATCATGAAGGTAGATTCTGACATTCTGTTAAGATGTTGATGAAGGTAAAGCAGCTCATTGTAGGCTTGACTAGAAAGCAGAAGGTGAAACATGTGAAGGATATTGACAGCTAGGCTGATCATCCAAAAAGCTAAGCTGGTCATTTATGGTGAAAGAGTGAAGTCTGGCATAAAGCTCACAGGGAGGCCGCTCGATTCAAGGATCATATACAAAGGAGATGTTTGCCGCCTCTATTAATGACATCTGGCAATTCTTTTTTACTTGTCACAAAGGCCCAGGGGCGAAGCCAGAAAAAATTATTTTCGAGAAAACGCAAATGGCTTTTGCGTTTCATTGAATTGGAAAGAGGGAATTTACATCCTCCTAGGAGGCAGTTTTACACAGCCGTCAGGGGCTCAGTGGACATCCCAGGATGATGGCAAAACGACCCTGAGCCCTTGAGCTCCGGCCTTTGCCCAGAAAAAATTATTGCTGGTGTCATATTTGTAAGTATAGTGGTAGCATTGCGTATTTGTAAAGAGTATTTTGTTACCTCTAAAGTAGGCTAGCGAAAAATCATTGGTGTCATTTGACACCATTGACCACATGCTAGCTCCGCCCCTGCAAAGGCCGAAGACATCAACACCACCAAAAAGAACCCGCATCAGTGGAAGGAGGAGGTGATGCTGTTGTCCTAACAGAGAGGCCGCTCAATTCAAGGATCAATTAAAAAGGATTTTTTTTGTCGCCTCTATTAATATTTGGCGATTCTTTTGTACTTGTCATGAGGCTGAAGGCATCACGCCACCAAAAGAACCCACACGAGTGGAAGGATGGGGGTGCTGTTGTCATCATAATATCACTATACCAGGCTAACCCATGGAATGTTCGGATTTGCCTCTCGAGCCAGAGCGCTGTGAATTACCAGTCATCAGATGGCCAGGTGAGATCAGGAAGCGCTGAGAGCACCACGGGACTTCATGGGATGGCAGGTGGGGCATGGGAGGCAAGAGATAAAGTCTATTTAGGCTGTTGAGTCGATTTAGGCTATTTATCAGTTTATATGCCAATACACATGTATGTTTACACAAAAGAAATTGTGTATTCATTTCGAATTGAGGTGGGCCTGCCCCTGCCAATCAAGCACCCCTCCTTGTTCTCACTTTGCCTATCGACTCTCGAGCATCCATCCTCTACTGCACCTTGCCATCAGGTTATTGTCAATGGTGTTTGCCATCCCCCATTCTCAACTGGCACAAAGCAGATCATTGCCAAACCACAAACTAGTTTGCATGATCTGGATTGGGGTTCTACGTGGATTGCCATGAATCAGCTAACTATATAATATTATTTTCCTCATTTTTTAATCAATCAATGTCGGCCAATTATTTCCATACCTTGCAAAGAAAGTGCATTAGTGTTGTTCTACTGCTGGTTGCACGGGTCTCTACAAGTTTTAGGATACTATCCAAGCGGAAACCAACAGCCTGGCCTGCAAGGGAATAGCAAAAAAGAAATTGAAATTGAAATTAAAAAGGTACGAGGCAGAGGATAAAATTGTTTGGTAAACAAAAAACCCTGAAGATGCAATAAACTGGTATTGATACAGTTTCAATCTACTCCCCAAAATAGTACCGTACAATAGATAGTTGGAGCATTCTTCCCAACTAATAGTCTAATAGGATAGTTAGAAATCAGCGAAGACACTACCTCTTGGTGTCCCTTCATTTAATGTGTTCCCAATTAACAGAATGTTCTTCATGATCACCTTCAGCTTCTCAGAGCCTCTGAGCTGATTGGCATAACAGAAATGAGTTCTCGCGTGCTAAACATGAATACTGAACGTGAGAAACCTTAGTTGTTAGAATGTTTACCTCCTCACAAGCCGATGCCACGGTCAGCAAATTCTTTCTAACATCCCTAATCTAAGCAGGAAATAAATAAGTGGAGAGTGAGAAAGCCATGAACAACACAAATGACCTTAATCTCTAAAACTTAACGGTGTATGACCTGTGTCTGAAACTGAATCTTGAAAGCAAATATCCTAAACTTAGATTCAATCCTCGGCACCTTCATCAATTCTAGAAAGAACTGCATATATAGGAAAAAGATAAATAGTAAGGTAAACTGAGGTACAAATGTAAAATGTCATTTAAAACTTCAATTCAGATAAAATATGACCAGAGAAATATATAAGAGAAGGAAGCTATAAATTATGTGATAAGCAGGTAAACTTAGATGAAACATGATATTTGCATTAGAGTAATGCGTGTAAGCCAAAAGATATAGATTTACCTGTTCACACTTTCCAAGAGTTTCCTTGTCTCCTGTAAAGTTCTGCCAGCCAAATTTACAAAATAGGTAGAAAAAAATTGTTCATGATTATACTAGAGACAAGGGGAAAATTCAAGGAAGTGTTAGTTTGGAAACAACCTTTAGAAGCTCCATTTCCTCTTTTGTTGGGCAAAACTTTATGAGATTTTCAACCTGATCAGCGTCTAAAACTGAATCGTCCAAGGCCAGAGCAGCACTCTATTATGAGCAGAGAAAGTAAAGACATATCGGTAGAGAAAGTACAATTACTATGTAAAAAATATATGCAGTCACGTGACTTAATTTAAAAAAGAGAATGATTTCCTGATTATTATTTTTGCAGGAAGATTTCCTGAATTAACAGCACACTTTAAACTTATTTGACTATTGACTCAACTCGCTAAAAAACCAGAATTAAATTGGTGTAAAGTTCACGTAAAAAACAGGGAGATGGGATTTTAAAAGCTTTAGGCCATGAACTGAGTTCTCAAGTTCACCAAAAGAATGTGATTCTGAAAAACAAATATGCAAAGAACTTCCAAGCAAATTTTCGGGTGAAAGAACCCGGTGGCAAAACTAAATTTCCCTATAACTCACTTGTTGAATGTGTGGCCATGTATTGCTGGTCCAAGTGGCCCAGGCCCATTGGGGCTGACCTAGAAGAGTGCAGCCAGACATGTCTGGTGAGCTGCACGGCATCACACACACTGCATTGAGCCACTGGCTCGTACGCCCCTCCTCTGTTCTACCTGGTATCAGACGCCACGATCGTCTAGTAGCTGGCCGGCGGTGGGGTCCGGCGAGGAGGCTGCGGCGGGGGCTCAAATCGGCGGCGGCGGTGGCGGCGTGCTGCGCGCGCGACGCGGAGAGCGGACAGGCGGGGCTGCGCGGGTGGCTGCTTCTTGGACCCGAGGCAGAACCCCTGCTCGAGCTCTTCCTCGTCCTCGGGCGGCTGAAGAGGAAGAGAGGCTGCTCGGGTGGTTGCTGGTGCTGTTGCTGCACGGGAGGTGCGGCTGCAGGGGAGGTGCGGGTCTGCGCTGTGGGTCAGGACCGGCTGCTGGGGACCGAGGTGGTGGGCAGCCCAGTGTTTGCGGCAATTGTGGAAGAGAGTCTGGGGCCATGAAACATCACTACAGAATGGGGCATGTATCCTTTGATAAAATGTTCCAGCTGTTTCCTGATGTAATGCATGGACTAGATAATAACAAGCTGCAATGTGATGCGTGTGAGTTTGCAAAACACACGAGACGTCTTATGTGAGTAAGGGACTTAGAAGTATATCCCCATTCATGCTTGTTCACTCGGATGTGTGGACAAGTCCGGTGGTGTCAGTTAGTGGTGCAAAGTATTTTGTGACCTTTATTGATTGCCACTCACGTATGACATGGATCTAAATGCGTCACAAGGATGAAACTTTCCAATGCTTCAAGACTTTCAATGCCTATGTGAAAAATCACTTCAATGTTCAGGTGCATGTGATAAGAAGTGATAATAGCACCGAGTATGTGAACAAAGTGTTTGGGACTTACTTATCAGAGCAAGGGATTTTGCATCAAACCTCATGTCCGGACACTCCTCAGAATGGAGTGGTAGAAAGGAAGAATCGACATATTCTGGAGGTTGCTCGATCACTGATGTTTACAATGTATGTGCCAAAATTCTTGTGGAGTGAAGCAGTGATGGTTGCGACACACCTGATCAATCGCACATCATCGAGAGTATTGGGTATGAAGTCACCTTCTGAGTTACTTCTGGGAAAGAATGATTGTGTGGTTCCTCCCAAGCTGTTCAGTTGTGTCTGCTTTGTCAGGGATCACAGGCCATCTGTGGGCAAATTGGATCCACAGGCTGTCAAGTGTATCTTCACTGGGTACCCTTCTGGGCAGCACGGCTACAAGTTTTTTTTTCGAGAAAACGCAAAAGACTTTTGCGTTTCATTATATTGAAAAGAGAGATACTCCCTCCGTCCCAAAATATAAGAACGTTTTTAACACTAGCATAGTGTAAAAAACGTTTTTATATTCTGGGACAGAGGGAGTAGTTTGTTACATCCTCCTAGGAGGCTCTGAGACAGGCAAAACACAAAAAAAACATCAGTGGACGTCCCAGATCTGTGGGAGGATGACACGCAAGCCTTGAGCACCTGCGGTTGCCCAAAGCGCAGCTTCTTCCTTGATCCTTGCTACCAAGACGCTAGTCGATGGTGTTGCGGCATTGAAGACGCAATCGTTGCGATGCTTCCATGTCATCCAAGGGATCAGCAGCGTTGCGGTTGTGAGCCCTTTGTGCATCGGCTTGGGTGTGGCCTGCCGCGCTGTGCGCCACCAGATAGATAGGGAGCCCTCACCATTAGGCGCGCTGCAAGGTAGGTGCAGCCAAGACAGGACGTCGTGCCAAACCTGCTTGGTGAAGGAGCATTCCAGGATCAGATGGTTCATCGATTCCGGCATCTGATCACAGAGCGGGCAGCGAGGAGGGTGCGGCAATCCGCGGCGGGCGAGGCGATCGGCCGTCCAGCAGCGTCCCAAGTTAGCGAGCCAGTGGAAGAACTTCACTCGCGGAGGTGCCCAGCTCTTCCAGGTAAGCTGCCATGCCGGGCAGGATGCAGAGCCATGGAAGGTGGCTAGGTACGCGGACTGTGCGGTGTATGTGCCTGAAGCATTCCACCTCCATTGGAGTTGGTCCGGTTCAGCAGAGAGGGTGGTATGCGCGATGGCCCGCCAGGTTAGCAAGTATTGGCCAATCTCTTGGATGCCAAGAGTGCCATGTATGTCTGAAGCCCACTGGTGCGCCTGAAGACCGTCTGCCACTGTTCTGCTTTTGCGTCTGCGCTTGGGGATGAGGGCGTACAGCTGAGGAGCGATCTCAGAGATGGATCGCCCGTTGATCCAGCGGTCCTCCCAAAACAATGCCCGTCGACCATCCCCAATGAGCATGGAGGTGGACGCGAAAAAGAATGCACGTTCCTCGCTTGAGAATTGGAGGTCGAGGCCAGCCCATGCTCTGTTTCCATCAGTGCGTGCCAACCAGAGCCATCTAGTGCGCAAGGCGAGGCCCGTGCGCTCCAGGTCGTGGATGCCAAGGCCGCCCAGACTGGTAGGGCGGCAGACGCGGCGCCAATTCACGTGGCAATTGCCGCCTTGAGAATCGGCACGGCCAGCCCAAAGAAATCCTCTCTGGATCTTCTCAAGGAGTTTGAAGACTTTCTTCGGCGGCGCGAGCACAAGGAGCTGATGCAGGGGAATTGCACTGAGGACGGACTTGACAAAGGCGAGGCGACCAGCCTTGTTCATGAGGTGCGCCTTCCAAGTGGGTAGCTTCCCGGCAGTCTTGTCGACGACGGGCTGCAGCTGGGCGGCCGTCGGGCGTCGCAAGGTGAGGGGGATGCCCAGATATGTGATGGGGAACTCCACGAGGGGGCATCCCAGGGTCGCGACGGCTGGGGCGACCTCGTCGTCCGCGCAACGGATTATCGTGGCCGTGCTCTTCTGGAAGTTGACACGCAGGCCTGACGCACGGCCGAAGAGCTGCAGGATCTCTCTGACCGCCAATGTATCGCTAGGCGAGGGGTGGCAGAAGAGGATGACGTCGTCGGCATAAAGCGAGATGATGGGAATCGCGCGACGGGGGTGCAGCTGTTGCAGAACGTTGAGCTCAGCAGCTCGGCGGAACAAGCGCCCCAACGTGTCGACAGCAAGCACAAAGAGCTGCGGTGACACAGGGTCGCCTTGGCGGAGTCCACATCGATGCCAAATCGCAAGTCCAGGCGCGCCATTAAGGACTCGGGTGCTGGCCGACGATAGCAGGATCGCGATCCAGCCGAGGAAGCGGTCGCCGAATCCGTATTGACGCAGGGCCTCGAAGAGAAAGGGCCACGAGACAGAGTCGAAGGCGCGGGTGAGGTCGAGCTTGAGGATGCGCGAGGCTCCCAGCTGGTGGAGGAGGCGCGCCGACTGTCGCACGATCAAGAAATTGTCGTGGAGACTGCGCCCGAGGATGAAGGCGTTCTGGATGGGACTGATCAAGTCATTCAGCTTGGGCGCTAGGCGGAGGGATAGCATCTTCGTGAAGATCTTGGTGACGAGGTGGATTAGGCTGATGGGCCTGTAGTCAAACAGGCTGGCAACGTCAGCGCGCTTTGGGATCAGCGTGAGCAGCGCTTGGTTCAGGCAGCTGAATCCTCGTCCCCGGAGCGCATGGAGCTGCTGGAAGGCGCAGACGAAGTCATGCTTGACGACGGGCCAGCAGGATCGGAGGAACTCCGTGGTAAAGCCATCAGGGTCGGGCGCCTTGCACGCTGGTAGGCGCTTTATTGCTTGCCAAATCTCGTCTTCGCTGAATGGGGCTTCCAGGTCGTCGAGCACGGTCGACTCGATGATGTGCTGCAAGTCAAGGGCGCAATCTCGAGGGTGATCGGTCCCGAGCAGGGAGTCGAAGTGCGCGAAGGCCGCCGCGGCCATGTCAGCATGATCGGTGAGCACGGTGCCGTCAACCATCAGGGAGTGGATCATGTTCTTCTGCTTGCGATAGGTGCACTGGCGATGGAAGAAGGATGTGTTGGCGTCGCCATCTTTGAGAGAAGAGATGCGCGCGTGCTGTCGCGCCAAAGTTCGCTCCAGCGAAGCCAGGCCAAGATATGACAGCTTGACCTGTCGGCGGAGCCAGTCCTCGTGGGGTGTTAGCTGGCGGATCTCCTGGGCCGAGTCAAGGCGCAGGAGCAGCTCACGCGAGATCGCGAGCTGGTCGCGGATGTTGCCCACGGCGCGAGCACTCCAGCTCGTGAGCATGCGCGCGGTGGCCTGCAAGCGCCGCATGATGCGGCGAAACGGGCTCGGGTCGTCCACCGAACTCCAAGCAGCCGCAACCACGTCCTGGAAGCCCGCAATGCGCGTCCAATACTCCTCGAAATGAAAGCGCCGATGCGCCGGGGGCAATGGCGAGCAGTCAAGCAGGAGCAGGCTATGATCGAAGACAACCGAGGCGAGGCAGCGAAGGTGGCACTCTCCGTGCCGCTCCTCCCAGTCCGCAGTGCAGAGGACACGGTCGAGGTGAACCAGCGTGGGCGGGGTCTGCTCATTCGACCAAGTGTATCGCCTACCGTTGAGGTAAACCTCCTTAAGCGCGAGGTCATTGAGAACGCGGCGGAAGCGTCCCACCATGCGTCTGTTGATGTTCCCGTTGTTTTTGTCTTCATCTCGATAGATCAAGTTGAAGTCCCCGCAAAGCATCCATGGGCTGGCGCAGTTGGCGCGTACATCGCGTACAAGTGTTGGAGTCCATCTGAACGGAGGGCCTTTGTGAGCATGGATGTCACCTTTAGGGAATCCAAACCATTTTATGGTGAGAAAACTGATCTTAGTGGATTACTTGAAACTTTGAAAGTCATACCCAGTCTACTGTGACAGGTCAAGAGGGGGAGAGTGGTGGTTGTGCCGATTCAGTGCTGCAGCAACCAATTGAGGGTGATATTCCGGTACAGCGAAGCGAGCAGCAGCCCCAGAAAATGATAACACCACAGAGTGAAGGACCGATTGTGACTGATGGGGTGCCGAGTCAGGCAGACAGTACTCCCACCCAGATCGGTTGTGTACCGAGGTGGACAGCAGAGCAAGAGGAGCAGCTAAAGGTGTATTCACGGAAGCAAGGTGATGATTCCCATAGGTGGCAGAAGGTGAATGAGGAGCGCAATCCTCAAGTTTATTCAAGACGACAGCATCATGTTCAGGGGGAGCCACCAACACAGATGCAGGGGGGAGCAGCAAGGTAGCAATGCAAGCTCATCTGACACAGAAGACTTGCCAATTGCTTTGAGAAAAGGTACTCGAGAAAAATCAGGGATACCAGCGCCAAAGTATGGGTTCGATGCCAATGATATTGGAAATTATGTTTCCTATGAAGCATTATCTCGAGCCACAAAGCATTTGTTGCTTCTCTTCAGCTGGTCTCTTCCAACTGATTGGAAGGCAGCAAAAGTGGATCCAAAGTGGCGAGCAGCTATGATAGAGGAGCTGGAGGCATCATGTAAGAACAAGACATGGGTACTAACACCTCTTCCAACAGGAAAGAAGGCAGTCAGCTGCAAGTGGGTATACACTGTGAAGCAGAATGCAGAAGGGAAGATTGAAAGGTACAAAGCAGGCTTGTGGCGAGGGGGTACAGCCAGACCTACGGCATTGACTATGATGAGACCTTTGCTCCAGTAGCAAAGATGATCACTGAGGATCCAGATCTCTTGTGCAGTGAATTTCGAGCGGTCCTTATATCAACTTGATGTGAAGAATGCTTTCTTGCATGGGGACCTGAAGGAGGTCTACATGGAGATCCCAGGTTCTCTACGTCTGAGACTGTTGGCAAGGCATGCAGGTTAAGGAAATCTCTGTATGGTCTGAAACAGTCTCCGAGAGCATGGTTTGACAAGTTCAGACGTGTTGTATGTAGTATGGGGTATGGGCAGTGTAACGGTGGTCATACACTGTTCTACAGACATAAACAAGGGAAAATCACTATACTTGCCATATATGTGGATGATATTATTATCACAGGGGATGACAAAGAAGAAATAGCAAGACTGAAAGAGTGTTTGGGTAAGGCCTTTGAAGTCAAAGATCTGGGCCGACTCAAATACTTCCTGGGCATAGAAGTGGTTGGGTCTGCGAAGGGGATTGCACTATCTCAGAGGAAGTATACTTTAGATCTCCTATAAGCGATGTAGGAATGCTAGGATGTTGGGCAGCATCAACTCCAATAGGTCAAAACCACAAACTGACAGCTCGGTCAGGAGAGCCAGTGAATAAGGAGAGATATCAAAGATTAGTTGGGAGATTGTTGTACTTGTGTCATACACGACCAGGCATTGCATTTGCAGCAAGTGTTGTGAGCAGATACATGCATGAGCCTAGAAGTGAACATCTTGAGGCGGTACATAGAATCTTGAGATACTTGAAAGGTACTCCTGGGAAAGGACTGTTTTTCAAGAGTTATGGACACCTTGTTGTAGATGGTTATTGTGATGCTGATTGGGCTAGCTGCCTGGATGACACGAGATCAACTTCAGGCTATTGTGTCTTTGTAGGAGGAAATCTAGTGTCTTGGAGAAGCAAGAAACGACCTGTTGTTTCCAAATCAACTGCAGAGGCTGAATACAGAGCCATGTCTCAGGGACTGAGTGAGTTGTTATGGATAAGGAATCTATCAGAAGAGCTGAAGATACTGAAGACCAGTTGCATGAATGTATGGTGTGACAACAAGCCGGCAATTAATATAGCAAACAGCCCGATTCAACATGATATGACCAAACATGTGGAGACTGACAGATTCTTTATCAAAGAAAAGCTGGATGCTGAGATTATCAAGATAGGGTATGTGAGCTCAGGGCAACAAATTGCAGATTGCTTGACTAAAGGACTGGGAACCAGAGAATGCAGCTTAGCTTGTGACAAGATGGCAATGATAGATATCTATCACCCCTCTTGACGGGGAGTGTTGAATGTGTGGCCATGTATTGCTGGCCCAAGTGGCCCAGGCCCATTGGGGCTGACCTAGAAGAGGGCAGCCAGACATGTCTGGTGAGCTGCACAGCATCACACACACTACATTGAGCCACTGGCTGGTACGCCCCTCCTCTATTCTACATCACTGATAATTTATTTGAGTTAATACCCAATCTTCATGCTAACACTTCAATAAAACTGATGAAAACAAACTATGCTGGATCTTCTACACTAACTAGAAGGAACTTGAGCAATCAACAGGTTTGCCCTTCCAATGACAGTATGTGCCCTCTTTGCTACCACCTACCAGGGTTGCTTATGGCGTTTGTCTTGCCGACTTTGCCGCTAAGCTCCCTTGTATGCATGTCTGCTCCCTACTCGGTGAAAATATGTGCATGTGCTGTTTGCATGTTCTCTAGAAACAAAGAGACGTCAGCTAGTAGCGAGATACTTACCATCATTTCGGAGAGTGGCATTTTGATTTTCGTCAACATGATCTCTGTGTTATTTGCCCGTCTTATATCCATCTGTGGATTTTCCAAGGACATGAACAAAACTTTCAGGGTTTTTATTTGCACCACAAGGACATAAGTTTTGTTGTCAGAAAGGAAATATAACTAAAAAAGTCCAATGCAAGCAGCTTAGAGTCAGAAAAGCATACTTTGAGGTAGCTAAAAATTAAGACATGCTACAAATGCAAAACCGAGTGTGAAATACCATCTATGTTCTTTCCCTACACTAAGTTTAGTTCACGAAAAAGGCCGTTGCAACTTGCATGGTCTCAACATTACCATGACTTCAGTCTCACATGGTAACTTGGAGGAGACAGTTTACACTACTTCTGTGCATGACCTTACATGTGATATATCATGTTACCCGTATCTAGATACATCCGTATCTAGACAAATCTAAGACAAGCTTTTTGGGACGGAGCGAGTATGTTAAAGAGCAAGCATAGTATAATGCTTGTTTAAACCTAAAGTAATTGACATTCTATAAAATTGAATGGAGTACTGCACTCTGTCTACATTGTATGGACCTGCCCTCTGAAAGGATATTACAGTTTTTTTAGTGCGGAAAAATATAGGAAATTTCATGATGCTGACATGCTATGCACTATAAACTTTGATGCCACTACAGAATCCAGTAGCATAGCAGAGCTAGATGAAATTGCTGGAACAAGTTACCAGGTGAATCTTATCAGTTTTGGAACCAATAGATTTTCCAGCCCCTTCTGTTTTTGCGCCACCTTTTGCCTTTGGAGCAATAGTGAAAAGAGATGTCAGTTCACTCACATCGAACTCAGAATCGCTGCATAGATGGTGCTATCAGTTAGCAGAATAAGGATGCACTAAATATATATTTTGCGAGAATTGAGCTGATAGCGACATTCGATCATCAGAGCAAGTTACGAGAATTTATATCTTCTGGCAAACAAACAGTTGAAATAACAGAGAGTACCTATCAGCATCTTGCTTTTGAATTTCTGCCCATACACTTCCTTGCATTGCTCTTGTTACTTTGACCCAGTGCAGTGGTTTTAGAGATGACTTCCGTGCTACAGTAAGTGAGGTTGCGCCCAAGGAACGAAGACCTCTTACACCAGGTGGAGGGGGGCCACCTCGTCCACCAGGAGGTGGAGGGGGGCCACCAGGTACTCCAGGAGGTGGAGGGGGGCCACCAGGTATTCCGGGGGGCATTGGAGGAGCAGGTGCACCTGGTGGGGGAGGGGGGCCACCTACTCCTCCATGCCCTCTAGGAGGAGGTGGTGGAGGAGTCCCGCCATATCCTCCGGGAGGAGGAGGAGGAGACGGAGCTCCACCTCGAAATCCTGCGGGAGGTGGAGGAGTTGGAGTACCTCCTATCCCTCCAATAGGCGGTGGTGGAGGTGGAACTCCTCCGATTCCTCCAGGTGGAGGAGGAGGTAGAGGTGCCCCTCCATATCCTCCGGGAGGTGGCGGCGGCGGCGGTGCAGCCCCACCATAGGCTCCAGGAGGTAGCGGAGGAGGTGGAGGTGCCACTTCGTATCCCCCGGGAAGTGGTGGCGGCGGTGGAGCTCCACTATGTGCACCAGGAGGTAGCAGAGGAGGTGGAGGCGGCCCTTCGCATCCTCCGGGAAGTGGCGGCGGCGGCGGTGGAGCCACTCGACATGCTACAGGAGGTGGTGGCGGCGGCGATGGAGCCCCTCCATGCACTCCAAGAGGTGCTGTTGGAGGTGGAGCTCCACCTTGAAATCCATCTTGCAGTGGAGTTCCTTCTCGTCCTCTAATAAGAGAAGGCTGTGGAGTTGTTTTATTTCCTTCAAGAGAAATTGGAGGTGGAATTCTTTCCTTTCCTTCACAAAAAGGAGGTGATGGCGGAATTGGAGCTCTAACTTGACATTCTAGTAGAGTTGGAGATGGGCTTCCTTCAATAGGATGAGGGAAATTCCCAGCGCTCTCTCTAGGTGGAGGTGGTGGTGGCAGCGGAATTCCAGCATCCCTTGTTAGAGGTGGAGGTGGAGCTATTACATGATCCTGGGAAATGGAAGGAGGCAAAAGTGCTTGATGTTGTCCAAAAGGAGGTGGTGGTGGAGGTGAGGGTACATCATGCCTTTTAGGTGAAATTGGAGGCAAAGGGCAAATTACTTCATGCTCTCTAGGCGGAGGTGGAGGAGGCGGTGGAGATGGTGGTGGGGCAGACAGGGATGATATATCATTTATATGAAGGGCTGGTGTTTGAGGTAAATGGGGAGATGACAAGGATTCTGTTGAGGGTGTAACTGAAGGTGAGGGCAAAGGTTCTAGAGATGGGAGTAAAGACAAGTGTGGTGGCAAAGGCGGGGCTGCAGGTGGTGTTGAAGGTGGGTGACGGGGTTGACGTGTAAGTATATGAGCAGGTGAAATTCCCCTATGCCAGCTGGGTGGATGTGGTGGGGTTGGAATGGCTCCATGTTCTTTTATATGAACTGTGGAGGGTGGGGTTTCAATGATCAGTTCATGCCACGAGAATTCCTTGCATGCTTCCAAAGGAGGATCTAAAGGCTGTTCATGAGGTACTTCCTCTTTAAATTTTGAACTTGAAGGATCATTTGCTCCAAGTGGAGGTGGAGAGAGGGGTTGTTTTCCTGGTGGTGTTGCTGCTTCTTTATATGAACAATCTGAAGAAGACTTTGAGCTTATAAGTGGTACTGATTCACTATCTGTAATTGGCAATGGTAGTTGTGGCAGTAGAGGAAGCAGAGGTGGAGGCTGTGGTGTACTATGTTGAGAAGTTTTGGGAGATAAAGAATGAGGCATGTGAAAGAAATACTTTGTATCTTCACTGGTAGTTGGAACATACATGTCAGTTGGTATATTTCTTCTGTTTGTTACTTCCATGTCTATAAAATCAGAGGCTCCTAAGATAAAGTCTGTCATCACTATACTACTTTTGGATGGTAAAGTTAGAGAGGAAAAACCTAGGTTGAGAATAGTTTGTCTACGAGGACTAGAGGAGCAAGACCCTTTTTCTCTTCTTTGTGCATGATGAGATATTGAGGTGCTTGAAATAATTTTAGTACAAAGAGTACGTGAAGGAGGAGGTGGGGGTGGCGCTGGAGGGTGAGATGCATACCTGTTGGAAGCAGGCAAAGCAGGAAAAGATAGACTACCTGCATGTAAATCTTTTTCATGTGTCTTTGCTGGGTAAGGTTGTCGAGGTGGTGATAATGATATCAAGGGAGGATGAGGGTTAACATGTGATAATGGAGAATAGGAAGTTGACATCTCTATATATGCTTCCAATGATGAAGATGAAGGTAAAGATGAAACAGTTTTGATTGGTCGTAGAGGGGGATTTACTAGGGATGATCTCAGAGATGTAGAGGATGGGGGCGGTGGAGACACTGAAGGTGTAGTAACAACATCCCTCCCGCTTGTAGAAGGAACAGAGTTCTGATTAGATTCTGTTTGCAATGGAGATAGAAAGGACAAATCTGTCGATGCTGAACGGAGCACATTACGCCTGGGAGAGTATGGAGCAAAAATACGTTGTGTTGACAAAGGAAGAAAAGTTTTTTTCTTTAGCGCCAGTCGAGACGAGTCAGCTGTAACTGTACTTGCACTGGCATGAGTTAGAGTGCCATTTGCTTCCAGGCTAAAACCTTCAGATAGCATATTCACAGAAGAAATATTCGAAGGTTGGCCTGTCGAGTTGGATGCAGAAGCTTCCGTTCCCTCTGTTTGTTCTGCAGCTCCATTGTTATTGGAAGCATCAGACTGCTTAATCTTTTGCTCGCCAGAATTTAAAATCATGGTAGCACTTGTGCTCTGCAGGTGTGGCCTCCCTACTAGTGGAGGCTCCATCCTGTTATTCTGATCTGCGGGCTCAATCACTAGTACGTTTGTGTCACTGATGCTAGGTTGATCCGTATTACTGTTGTTTTCTTGTTTGGTGCCATTGACAGAAGTAACGCATTCTTCTCTTGGACTATCTCCCTCATCCTGTTTGAGAGCAATGTCAATGTTAAGTCCTTCAGTACTATCAGCCTCCGTCAATATGATGCTTTCTGAATTGTGGACTGCATTGCCTAATTCAATCTCGCCCTCCAGCACTTGTTTTGGAGCGGTGACTTCAGATATGATTACTTCTTTGATCATCTGAATGTCCTTTGGATTATTGGTTTCCAATATAATCACCTCTTTGACCAGCACGTTATCAGTATGACTCAAGTCTTGCTTGGGATCCACTATCCTGTCCTGCCTTGAATCGCTGTTTTCAACTGTGCAGCCATCATCTTTATCTATGTAGGTAGCAGAACTCGAATTGATGCTGTCTCTGCCTCCATCTGTTGTACTTTCCAAACTTGACACTACTCTCGTTATATCTTCATGCATAATATTGGTGTCAACAGATGTGCATGCATTTTCATCATTTAGTATTCCAAATGACATATTCATGTCATCGATTTTATTTTCTGGTGATCCATCAATATCATCACTGCTCAGCTCAAGACTGGAAAATGGTGAGATTTTCCTAGCTTCAACGCTTGAAGTACGATCTGAAGAAGCTATGGAACGAAAATCAGCATCCTTGTGTCCATCATGTAAGTCAAGACTACTGAAGATTTCTTCTGCTTCAAAGAACTCATCAGCAGAGCCAACTTCTATCTCATCACCACAGTCGTCGTCGTCATCATCATCATCATCACCGGATGCAATTTCGGAAGACGCATCAGATTCAGCATCAAACTCTGAAAAGAGTACCTGGTTCAGGCATGCACTTGCAATTAACATTAATCGATTTGATAATAAGTTGCCCCAGACATGTAAGAAAAAAGCATGGCCTACCTCTGCTTTGAAGTTCTTTATGAACCGGTGATCAGCATCCCAAGAGACATCAATGTGCTCAAAGTCCAACTGTAAAATGTGAGACTGGATAAAGAAAGTATTGAACATCACCCTAAACATTAGCCTTTCATTTTCTAGGCCATCATCCACATGCAAGCATTCAAGGACCACATCACCTTGGACGCATGATCCCACATTTAACTTCACCGGCATGTTGTCTGCCTGCAACGATAGTTAACAAGTAACTAACACAAATAGCAGAATGATCAAGATCTAAGCTGAGCTTGATGGTACCTGTCTGTAACGCCTAACATGTTTCTTGGCTTTGAATGGTGTTGCAAGAGCATTGCGACCTCTATCAAGCGTTAGAATATCCTGCCCATATACTCGAACTATTGGCCTACAACCACCTACCCCATCGAAATTTGGTACTCCTCTAAGAATTACACAATCCAGGGTGAAAGGAATAGGTTGTGTGGGCAACCCTAACTCGTAGTCCATTCTGCATATGTACTGTAGATATCGAACATGAGAAGGCTGTGGATTTAATGTTGTTAACATCTGAAGAAGCTCCTTCGGTGCTTGCTTGTACACCATGTCCAGAGTTCTTTGTTCCCCATTGTATTGTTTCCGGTACAGAAGAAGAGCTGCAAGCATAAATGCCAACACTGGCCATCCGCCTTTCTCACAGTGCATTAGCAGAATATTTTGCTTCCCTTCAAACATAAGCCACCTCTCGCTCAGCCTGAGGAAGTGGATGACGATGTCCAAAGGAAGCAATGGGCATCCTAAGTATTGGCAGGGGTAATCTTTGACTGTAATTCTGTACAGGGAGAACAAGCCTGAAACCAGACTTTTTCCTTCATCTCTGAAGTTTAATACCATCAATGAAGAATCTGCAAACTGCTCACGGAGCTGCAACACAATGCTGTCCAGGTAATTCTTGTATTTGAATTGATCCATGGTTTCTGTCGAGAAGCAACAATCGAATACTGCAAGCATTGAACAGACCAGTCATTTTCTCTTCATGTCAAACTGGACTTGTAACTGTAAGCATATTCACGAAGATTTTAGCAGCATGGTGCAAGGCTCGCAGGCACTACTTGTTGAAAACAATCAGATATGGGAATATCAGCACTACATGATAATTTTTGGAGCCTCTGTTCGCACAGTTCAGTAACATATTGAAAACCTATACGACTCACAAGATTTAAGTGTTGTGATTGGAAAAAGGGGCGGCACATTCATGTCGTAGTTTTGTCTCCCCGCTTCAGTCTTGTTCTAGTTCTCAAACTATAACTGCACGATAGTGATCATGCGCCTGTTTTGCCTTAGCTATACAGCTACTTGTTCTTTTCCATAGGTTAGAACAGCACATTATTCATTTGCATTGGCCTAAGTAAACTAGAATGGTGTTTAAAGAAGTAACTAATGCAGCACGTACATAATGTAGACATTGGTGATAAAATGTGGGGGAAAAGAATAAAATCTTGTACTAGCAGTTTCTTCCCGTATAGACCAAATTATTACGTAAAACAGCTAAATTTATGAGGCTAAAAGAGCTATAATAAAAAAAATCGCGAGCAATTCCATGCCCCCTTGCATCCTTGGCGAATTGCCCCAACATTTCAAGAGGACGAGGCGGGCGGGGTTACCGTAGACGCGGTCTGCGATCTCGAGGAGCCGATCCGGCGGCTTCCGGTAGAACAGCCTCCGGAACAGCGCCATTTCTTCCTCGTCCCCGTTGCCGCCGTCTCCGGCGGCCTAGGCTGCGGCACCCCGCTTCCTGATCGCGTCCGCCTGCTCAATCGCAACCAGCGACCGAGGAGCACTACCAACGACGCCTCGCCCGCGCCGCCGCGGCCGCCGGCGACCCCACGACCCAGCTCCGGCACGCGACGCGCGCGGGGGGAGGCAATGCGCGGCGGAATTCGCCCCTCGCTAGGGTTTCGCCCTCGTATTTTTTTCCTCAAATTTTTTGGTGTGAAAAAATCTCTGGTTTTTTGGGGTCGCTGCTAATTTTTTGGTGTTTGAGGTGGCGGAGAAGCGGAGGGAGAGGAGAGAGAGAAGAAAGGAGGGAGGAAGGAGGAGGCGGCACGAGACGGAACAGCAGAAACTACGGCTCGGCTCGGCTGTGAGTTTTTTTAAACATATATAGGTGCTCATGTATACATATACTCATCTTTATGAATATACATGGTTAAATCAAAAGCTTTGTAGTCGACGAAAATATCTTCTCCAACTAAATAAATATTGTCGAAAAGTTTAGAATAAATCCATAAAAATGCGGGCATTAATGAGAAGTCTAGGACTTAAACTCTCAAACTCTGGTGGATTGATTTTACTATATAAAACCTAACCATCTGTACTACACTCACGTCGTGAAGATTCTTTTTTCACTGAATAGCTTGAGAATGCTCGAAAGTGCGAGTATGTTCTGGTTGTTCAATTTTTATCATTATCACTGGAAGAGGAAATTGATACACGTGTTTTTGGTATGCCGATGCTCTTCCTCTGCGTTTATTGATGGTGCACCGTGAGCAAAGCTTGATACCGCCGGATCTCTGAAATACTTTTTGGATTTAGAGTAATGTTGTTGACGCAATGGTCAAATGGTCCTGTAGATAGCTAATTAAGGATCGCATCAGCATTTTAGAAAATTAAGGCGACGAAGAAAGTCAGGCAACCATGCTAGGTCCATTTGGGCAGAACCGAGAAGGCCTTACCTAGCTAACTTTCGTACAATGCCAAAGCTGGCCATGCTTCACCGACCAAAGAAAAAGCCAACAAATCTAAACGCAAACAATAGCCATCCACACCACGAAACAATGTCATCGGAGATCGATTACATGAAACAAAGACAACGTCAGGACCCCATATCTGACCCAGACCGAAGGTTCACACGCCATTCATCGATACAATTAGCACCGCTAGAATGAGGATAGCATGGTGGGGTGGCCTTATTCCATCTTGTCAATGACGTTGTCGCCTTGCCATTTTTGGTCAGACACTTAGACTAAACCCTAACTAGACATAGGATGACCCAAACAATGCGGCCAATCCCAAACTGTGGTTCCCCCACTTCACCAACGTCGAAGGCACTTGAAGGCAAGGGGAACCCGTGGTTATGGCAAGTACAAGAGAAACCCTAGATGCCTTTCCTACCACGAGAGATGGGATAAACATTTTTGTTATATATAGTGGGAAATATTAAGATAAAAAATCACATATACAAACATTTTTATCTTACGCAGCCCTACCTAGCACATACTTAGCAAATTATCAAGACCAAACTAGATGAACAAGAGTCAAACAATTGTCATGGTCAACAAGTCATGGGAAGGAAAGATGAGGAGACTTTTTAGGGAACATTGCTCAATTTTGTTCAATCTCAACATTTAAGGGGGTCATTACAAGATCATGGGGAGTGCCAAGCCAAACATGACAACCTATATCAAGGGATAATGAGAACTTTGCTAAAATATGAGCTTCATGGTTACTGCTTCTATGCTCATGGCTAAAAAATAAGCTCTGAAATCATACTTTCTAGCATTAATCTCCTTAATGATGGCACCATTCCTTCCACCCACTCTATCTTCTATATCATCACCACGGATAAACAATCACTCACAACAAACAACCGTTGCACAACCGGATCCGCAACCAAAACTTGGGCTTCTCTGCAGGTTAAAGTCTTAAGGGAAGATGGACCATTTATACCTGGGGGTAAGCACTGATGACGCTACTAGAAACAAGCACGATTGGCACCAACATACAACAACCACTGAATCAGATTGTCCATTCCTCGAAACTGTGCCATCTACATTGAATTTGGTGAAACTCGCTGGTGGAGGAACCCACGGTACTCTTTTATTTATTATAGCACTTGGAATGGCTGGTTGTATGACTAACACTTCCAGTGTTTCCAAATCTTCCATGAAGCTAGTAATGAAAAAATGTGTCGAAAGCAGTGACTGAAACATAACTTCATGAATGGCCTTCCTCCAAGCTGGCCATATTGTGAGCACTATCTTCATTGGTTCAGATCATATGCTCAACAATACCCTCATCCGATAATGCCCCGTGACATCAAACACTCCATGAATGAGTGCTTCCATGAATCCTCCATTCACACAAAGTACAGTTTGGTTCAATTGCCATGTTTCATGCTCCAAAACATCATAGGTTGGGAGAGATCGTTGTGCCAGACGCCAGAGAAAAATACCTTCAGTTTGGAGGGAACCTTATTTTTTCCAAATAAACACCCAACACTTCTCTAGTCATTCGCTATTTTGAAGATCCATCCAACCCATCTACCGGGTTTCCTCGAGTGAGTTTTGTTTTCACCAACATCCTATATGTTTATCAGACTGTGAAAACACCCTTTTTGTCTTTACTCCACGACCAAAAATAGAAGATACGACGAGTTCATAAAGGGATTGCAAGTATACCTGCAACATCAATTGGCAAAAAAGTATTGAACACCAAATCCTCCCTCCATCTCGCAAACATATCTGAAGGGTCGACAAGATAGGTCTAGAGGGGGTGAATAGAGATTAACAAGGCTAAAGTTGTGGTTTTTAGTTTTCTTGGAATTTAGGTGATTTTATCACAAGTTAAGAGGCAACCAATACAATCTACACATGCACATCTAGAGTTTAGGCAGCGAAAATTACACAACATGCAAGTGCAAGAATGTAAAGGGAAGTAGAGATAGGAAGATCAAACACAATGAATACATGGTGATTTTTGGCGTTCTTCCGATAGGTGGCGCTATCATACATCCACTTTGATAGGTACTTCAACCCACAGAGGGTAACGACTGCGAGAGTCCATGGAGGGCTCCACCCACGAAGGGTCCATGGAAAAGCGGCCTTGTCTATTCCATCATGGCTTCCGCCCATGAAGGACTAGCCTCACTCGGGGTAGATCTTCACGAAGTAGGCGATCTCCTTGCCCTTACAAACCCCTTGTGAAAGGATCGATATAGTTGACTAGAGGGGGGGTGAATAGGCAACAAATTTTAGCTTTTCTTTACCAATTTAAACTTTGCATCAAAGTAGGTTGTCTATATATGCAACTAGGTGAGTAACCTATATGATGCAACAACAACAAGCACACAAGCAAACAAGGGATGCAACACAATATAAGCTTGCACAAGTAAAGGTATGAGATAACCAAGAGTGGAGCTGGTGAAGACGAGGATGTGTTACCGAAGTTCCTTCCCTTCGAGAGGAAGTACGTTTCCGTTGGAGCGGTGTGGAGGCACAATGCTCCCCAAGAAGCCACTAGAGCCACCGTATTCTCCTCACGCCCTCACACAATGTGAGATGTCGTGATTCCACTATTGGTGCCCTTGGAGGCGGCGACCAGACCTTTACAAACAAGGTTGGGTGAGGGAGTCCTGGATTAGGGGGTCTCCGGACAGCCGGACTATCTCCATTGGCCGAACTGATAGACTAAGAAGATACAAGATTGAAGACTTTGTCTCGTGTCCGGATGGGACTCTACTTGGCGTGGAAGGCAAGCTAGGTAATACGTATATGGATATCTCCTCCTTTGTAACCGACCTTGTGTAACCCTAACCCTCTCCGGTGTCTATATAAACCAAAGGATTTTAGTCCGTAGGACAACAATTACAACATACAATCATACCATAGGCTAGCTTCTAGGGTTTAGCCTCTCTGATCTCGTGGTAGATCTACTCTTGTACTACCCATATCATCAATATTATTCAAGCAGGACGTAGGGTTTTACCTCCATTAAGAGGGCCCGAACCCGGGTAAAACATCGTGTCTCCTGCCTCCTGTTACCATCCGGCCTAGATGCACAGTTCGGGACCCCCTACCCGAGATCCGCCGGTTTTGACACCGACATTGGTGCTTTCATTGAGAGCTCCTCTGTGTCGTCGCCATTAGGCTTGATGGCTCCTACAATCATCGACAGCGATGTGGTCCAGGGTG